TTTTTTTTTGTTTTTGATTCGCGATCGCAACGAACTATAGGGGGCGTGGTTGTATGAGACGAATTCCGGCGACTTCTACATGAACAGTAATTCAGTTGCTCTGGAGGCGTCTTTAATGTAGCGTGTAGCATTGTAACGTTCCTTCTCTATTGTGTCTTATTGAATTTTTAAAAAAATGTTTGATATTCTTTCTCGTGGAAGCGAAAACAAAATGGTATCTCTTTTTTTTTCAGAGAAAGAACATCCAAAATACACCGGAAAAATATTTGTAAGTAAACAGTACAAAAAATATGAATCTTCTCATTAGCGTTAAAACCTAACGCCTGCGAAATCGTTTTACTAAATATAAATAATCGTTTAATGATATTACATGAATGGCCTATTTAAACTTTACAGTCCATAGTTTTATGAATCATATTACTTTAAACATTAAAATATACAAAAAGTATACATAAAACAATAATTTTACATAATTTAATTTTGCAAAAAAAGTTTTTTGGCAACAATTTTCACAAAAAAAATTTAAGTTTCAATAAAAAACATTACTTATAAACTAAGAAACGCAAAATAAAGAGTGCGTGCGAAAAAAAAAAATCGATTATAAAAATTCCTCAAATTAAAACAAATAACTTTCATGTTTTCTTTTATTATTAATCGGACGTAGAAAACCATTCTATAGAGAACTATAACCAAATTAGAAAAAATAGTTACTAGTAAATTTTTTATTACAAAAATCATAACAGTTACCTGATTTATAAATCCGGAGAATTCCGAAATGATAAGTTCTTCGTTTGAAAACTTTATTTTAAAGGATAATTTATTATATACATAAATTATCCCTTCATAATTTTAAGACGACATACCACACAATAAAATTTTATAATTGCGAGATCTTGATATGAATTTTAATGTGTAACTAAAAAACAGAATAGCTGAATTCTGGTTGAAATTTGTAATTCAAAATTGAAATATACTTACCAAGAAAACGATAAAAATGCATTAATAATCAACATAAATGACATTATTACAAGTAATTCGGATGATTCTATGTTGAAGTTTTCCGAAATATATACATTCAGAAATATATATTCTATAACTATTACAGTTCCACACGTTCTGAAATCGCATTTATTCATTAGAATAAACTAAGCAATGTTGACTTCACTTTAATTTGTAATGGATTGAAAACAAAAAAAAATTATTTTACCGTAATACACACATCTGTAACGGTACGGAAGTTATCGGTTGCAAGTTTGTTGATAATAGAAAGGTAAAAATTATTGAGAAATTGTTCTTCAAATGCTTCGCGTGTTCTGTTTCAAAACGATTTGCCAATGTTCTGGTCAGTTGCTTCAAGTTCTTCTGCCTTTTCCTAAGGGAAATTTTGCTTCCTATTTGCTACTAAGAAAATGGCGTCCGACACTGCCAATGATTATGATAGAACCAAATGAAAACTTAATAAATAAATGTCTGATATTTTCAGGCTCCCCTACAGGGCGTACTCAAGCGTTGCAATCGCGAATCCAGTTATACTGTTTTCCTATAATTGTTTGTGTTAGCTGGATAGTTTCTGTATTCTGTTCCTTCTCCCCACTTAGAGGAACTTTTCCAAAGAAAACGAGGGAAAACTTATTTAAGAACTTGGCTGCGTACAAACTTTTACAAAATTTTAGATTAAATCAATGCTTTATGTTTATTAATTTTGACTTTGAAAACTAAATTTCTATATAATCAGATTAAATTAGATATAATTTTTAATTTAAAAGTTATGTTCAATATTTGACTTCAAAGCATAAAATTAAATAATTTCTACTGTTACGATAAACATTTGATTCTTGAAGCATGCTGGTACATTAAAACTTCAATAAAACACGAAAAAAGGCTTTTAACATTAGCGATTCTTGCAGCTGGTTAGTACATTGAAACATCAATACAATTTCAAAGATGCTTATATAATTTATAATTCTGCAACGGGTAATTCCATGAAAACGTCAATACGATTTATATCATTAGCATTTCATGTAGAGTGCTAGCATATTAAAACATCAATAAGATTTAAAAATGGCTTATATCATTTATAATTGCTGTAGTGGATCATTATATTAAAACATCAGTAAAACATCAAGACGACTTATAACATTAGCAATTCTTGTAGCAGTTTAGAACATTAAAACATTAATGCAGTATCAAAGAGGCTTATATAGTTTATAATTCCCGTAACAGGTAATTACATTAAATCATTAATAATATTTATATCATTAGCAATTCATGTAGCGCGCTAGCATATTGAAACATCAATAAGATTTAAAAATGGCTTATATCATTTATAATTGTTGTAGCGGATTATTATATTAAACATCAGTAAAACATAAAAATGGCTTATAGCATTAGATATTCTTGTAGCGGTTTGGTACATTAAAACATCAATGCAGTACCAAAGAGGCTTATATAGTTCATGATTCCCGTAACGGGTAATTACATTAAATCATCAATAATATTTATATCATTAGCATTTCATGTAGCGCGCTAGCATGTTAAAACATCAATAAGATTTAAAAATGGCTTATATAATTTATAATTGCTGTAGTGGATCATTATATTAAAACATCAGTAAAACATCAAAACGGCTTATAACATTAGTAATTCTTGTAGCTGTCTAGAACATTAAAACATTAATGCAGTATCAAAGAGGCTTATATAGTTTATAATTCCCGTAACAGGTAATTACGTTAAATCATCAATAATATTGATATCATTAGCATTTCATGTAGCGCGCTAGAATATTAAAACATCAATAAGATTTAAAAATGGATTTTATCATTTATAATTGTTGTAGCGGATTATTATATTAAACATCAGTAAAACATAAAAATGGCTTATAGCATTAGATATTCTTGTAGAGGTCTGGTACATTAAAACATCAATGCAGTATCAAAGAGGCTTATATAGTTCATGATTCCCGTAACTGGTAATTACATTAAAACATCATAACGATTCATATCATTAGCAATTCATGTAGCGTGCTAGCACATTAGAGCACCAATAAGACTTAAAAATGGTTTATGTCATTTATAATTGCTGTAGCGGAGTATTATATTAAAACATCAAAAAAATTTATATTATTAGCAATTCTTTTAGCATGTTAGTACACTAAAACATCAATAAAACTTAAAAATGGCTCATATCACTTCGATCATTTAAAATGTCTATTAATTGTTATATTAAGGCATCAATAATTCATCAAAAAGTCTTCCAACAAAGAAATATAACTGTTTAAATAAATAAAACCATATCTGAAGCTTGAAGATAAATTAGATCTCTTTTATCAAAACACATATTCTTATCTTGATCCGTAGTTTTAAAAATGAAAAACATGCTTAACAAAAGTTTTTAGCTTCATATAATTAGATCCGACCTTCAAAAAATGTCTTCTTCCTTTGAAATGTTGGTAAGATCTTAGAATAGCCCACCGGTTGGCGACTTTTTGAAAATTCCGCTGATCCCAGTAATATCCGCCAAGTTCGCGATTATTACTGAGATCAACGTTGCTTTTTGATTATAAAAAAAAAATTTAAATTCCTACAAATTTGTTAAAATATTTTTAATAGAATAAATTTTTTAAATAATAACTATTAATTAAATATAATACAATAAAGTTTAACAGAATTTTTTAATAGAATATTTTTTAATAAATTCATACAATCGTTCAACAAAATAAGACTTTTTACATTTCGCCTTCAATAAAATAAAAAATTCACTCGACCATTCGCTCGCTATTTCCAATCGGTACCGCCAAAAAAATGAAATAATAATGGTAATAAATGAAATAAAGAGTAAAAAATGAAATAATTATGTATAATAATAAAAATAAAACTACATATTTGTTGCGTGACTTTATTAAGGCCTGAGGCTGCATCATTATTGGATGTATAAACAACTTTCTTCTTTTGACGCTTTTGAAATTGGTTCGATTGAAGCCTTTGGCATGAAAAGTACTGAGAGAGGTTGTTACATAGCTAATCAATAATTATTAGATCATAAATTGACTAATTAGAAGGCTTATAACTTAGTTTTTTATCACATTTTCATTACTGGAAGTAAGAAAAATAAATTTCATTATTAGGATTTAAATAAAATGTAATAATTTCGTTCAGTTCCTATAAATTCAGATATAGATTGCGAGTTTTTGCTATAAAAAAGTCTGTTTAACTGAAATTTAGACGCACCAGAAAAGTTCAATCTTTTTTAAGCAGAGTTCTCAATTATTGTAGCACTCAATTGTTGAAATGTTGTCTCACTTGTTGCACACATTATAAGCCTCTCTTACGTAATAAGAAATTTAGTAATGGGTGTAAGTCACCTCAGAAATATTTCTCAGTCAGTTTAAATGACCTGTTCAATTGTTGAAGTTGATATGGTCCTGCTAAATCTTACTATGCACCGTTTCAAGTCTGCTCATGAACGATCTATAATTTAGACAAATGCGTAACGATTTAAGCATTGAGTCATTCAAAGCTCGAACAAAATGTCAAAATCAAGTAAAACATAACATTATAAGCTGCTAAGTATTTATATATGTTGTATTTAATTATCTGTACCTTATTTTAGTTCTGCGTTATCCACGCACAGGCTGTTCAAAATTTGCCTTAAAAATTTTAAAAAACGATAGACTTAACGCAACTACAGAGCAACCTGATTCCTCTGCTTGGATCTCTGCTACAAAAGAGCTTCCTCTGAAGGAAAAATTTATATACTAGAGTGTTCCGAATGCAATGCTTGTTTTTAAAAATCAGAATTGGTAAGATTTAAAAAAAAATACGATTAATGCCATTTTTCTCAATTAGTTCATCATCAATCATCTGCAATTAGTTATATCAAAGAAATCTGGTCATAGATTTAGAATAGGATTTAGTAACAACTTTTTTTAAAATTTATAATAATATTGTGCTTTAAAAAAGGTGAAAAAATGAAGGCTGTGTAAGCAAAAAGTCATTTAGATATCAGGTTTGTTGGGGTTTTGAGCGTAACCATAGGCTGTAAGTCATTTCCATTATCAAAGTAACAATAGCTACTGCCCAGCCTATCAAAAGTATAATAAACACACCACTTAAATCTGATAACCCTAAAGGTGAGGCTAATGTACTCTGAGAATAATTACTGTTTAAATTTCTCTTTAATTCGATTTTGAAAATGACATCGTTCCTGAATTTTTCATACATGCCGCTACTCAAAATTCGGAGTAGCATTTGATTAAAGCGCTCTTTGCAGCAAAAATCTTTCCTGATTGCAACACCTGAAGGAAAATTTCCAAAAACATCTTCTGAAAAAAAGTACATTTCAGGGGGCCCCAAAAGTACTCGGAAAAATGCCGGGTTCCCAAGTATTGCTACGTCTTCTGGAACAATTTGGCTGATATTCGGATAGAAGTACCATTTATTCTTTTTAATGTATTCCCCTAATCCTTTGAAATGAGGTACAATGCTTTGCGACAAATATTCTGCTTCAAGGGTGGGTCCCGCAGCCAGACACTCCATTTTCCCCTCTCTGACTGCGGTGTAGAGATCTTTGAAATCTTTTATTTGTTTCATTTTGATTAGGGATGTCAAAAATGATAACAGGACAGAGCTGTAACCCAGAATCAGAAAATATGAATAAAAGAGCCAAATTCCAAGTGGTATCCACCTGGACATTGAGCGAGGATTGTAGCTCATTCCTTGTCCGAAAGAAGATCCCCACACATTGAAGAAAACCGAAATAATTGAGTCTTTTGGCGAAATCAAAGCTCGAAATAGCACTGTCACTAAGAGCAGTACGGCAAAAAATAAAATCCATGTGAGACTGCTGAAAGGATACGTGAATGCTGTTGTTTTCGGCAAGAAAGGAGCATGATTCATCAGAAACGTTTTTTCAAGAGTGTAGTAAGGTACGCTGAAATCTGCTACAGTCGACCTTTCTTCGGTGACACTTATATAGCTGAATGCCATGTCAGTTTCATTCCTCGCTATCATTCCCATCATTCCAGTCCAGTTTCCGAATGCATCCTTGGAACCGTACGAATAGTCTGAGGGAACAAGAATCTTATATTCGAAATTTAGATAGCGTGACAATAGTTTTATAAATTCATCTTCAATACCCGAAATAGTGATTGTGTTGTCGATTCTTTTAATTTGTGTGGTTATGGTATCGGGTATAACAGCAATTCTAAGTTTAGGTGGAAAATATGCCTCCATTTTTTACAAAATCCTTTTAGATTTAATTTCAGATTAAGTGCTTTGAGTTAAGTTTGTTCTTGAAGACTTGCAGAGTATAGAGATGCTGCATTGATACGAAAATTTCTCAGTTCTTCATAAGATGAATGAATTCTTCATGGAAATATTCTTCTGGAACTAGTATGAATATTTTGCGGTTGGATAAAAAGCTTCGTATTGATTGTCAGGTTTGAAATTATCTTTGCTTTATTGAATCAAGTCAGTTCTTGAAAGCTAACAGAAAAATAAAAAAAACACTATTACAAAGCTAATCTTCATAAGAAACGAGTTTCTTTAACTATATAGTATTATTTTTAAAGAATTTTAAAATAATCATTAGTTTGTATATTTTCAGTCTAGGTGCAAATCATTATTAATTCCTAATAATATATTAAATGCTCAAATTATTTGTGCACAAGTTAGTCCATGAAAGTTGCCAGGTAAAAATTTTAACTGTTTCAATTGTAAAATTTTAATGAATGAATTGTTCCTCATAAAATAAGAAGCGCAGGCTTATACAAGAATTTTATATGTTTAAATAAAAGACAAACAAATAAAGCTACTTGAATGAGCGGCAAGATCCATTTTTGCATCTCATGTTCTGCTAATATTTTGTTATTCATGAATTCCCTTTTCTGATTGCACAAAGAATTTTAGTTTCTAAACAAGCATAATTTTTAAACCTTGGTACGAAGTTAGTGCTTAGTTAAACCCTTAATATTTTATATATCCCTAGAAAACAGTACTTGAAATAGTTTAAATGTTTGTGCCATTAAACAAAATTTTTGTGGCAATTCCACCCCCCCCCACATTTTTGTTGCTAGTAATGTGTATATATTGATAGGAAAATAATGTGCATGTTTATTTAATGGTAAGATTAGATGAAATAAGTGATAAAATGCTAACTAAGATGTTTCAGGACCATGTAAAACGTCTTATCATTGATTTCTTACTCATTTAATTCTATTTAACTAAATGTGGGTTTAGTTTTTTTGTTTTTAAAGTCAGCTATAAGATTATTAAAAGTTAAAATTTTTCGATATTTTGCAATCTGTTTTTTTACCGATACAAAAACTTTTACCGTATTGTGGATTGTACAAATAGGTTCTTTCTTTTTTTTAATATTTTATAAAGCCTTAAATTATACACCTTAACATTTAAGTTTATTATATGATTTTTACGGTTTTTTTTAAGGAAAAACAAATTTTTCCCTTTAATAAACCGTTAAATAAAGAGTATTTTTCGTCAATAAATTTCAAAGGTTTTGCATGTTTTTATAGAAATAACTTCAGAATAAGTATCTTATTTTAAAGCAGCTCATTTCGAAATGCGATATCTATACGTTTTACCGTCAGGGTTTCAAGCACTCTCTTGAGATTTTTTTAAATTTATTTTTGCTATTGTTTATTATTACATCTGAAAAATGACAAACGTGCTTATTTTCTGGAATCGAAACTCATTGTTAAATGTAATGAATATTACTAATGAATAATTGTGATGAATTACAATAACGTGAACACTTAATAGAGAAAGAGCAAAACAATTACAAGAGTTCTAAAAGTAATAAAAAACCTATATTAACTAAATTTTTCTTATTCCCGAAGAAATATTTTGAAAATTATTTTTAAACTTAAGAATTGTTTAAATCATGCAATTTCTAAAAATATCAATAAATTTTAAACCATTTAGAAGTTTGAGGGGCCGGCAATAATATACGAACTTTCTATATCAAAAACTGTGGCGATAAACTTGTAATGCAAATCAATTACTTTCGTTTTTATATGCAATAATGCACAAAATTTCGTAAATCTAGCTTAAATATTCATTAAATATTTAATAACATTTTTTAATGCTAATTATTTTGCCTTGCATTTTCTAACTATATCTGCAAACAATTTAACAATTTTTTGCTGTAATTTTAATAAACATATCATTTTAAAATAATTTCTTTTTAAAATTTGTGCAGGATACAAGTAGTTAAAGTAATCCTTTTATACGGCGCATGCACGTAAAACATTAAAAAATATATTTTTTCATGCTTTTATTTTAAATTGCATTTGGGTATCTATCAAAAAATCTCGATTTGAATATCTTAAAAATATAAAAAAGGCTTAGCAGTTTTTTTAAGTAGTTTTGAAAAATATAAAAAAGAAAGCTTTGAGTGGTAAGGGGCTTTCCACAAATTTTATTTTGAGCAATTAAACAAGATTTATTAAAAAAGATTTATTGAAAATGACATAGGCATTAGAATCTTTGCCGATTACAATATTTCATGTATTTTCTTTCCTAATATCATCACAAATTGTTCCGTATCAACATTTTGAGGCATTGTCATTTCATATTGAAGTATGTCATATAATACAAAATAAAATTTGTTATATATAACAAATTTTATTTTGTACTATATAACATACTTTAATAACAAATCAAAATATTCTAAAATGATGATAAGGAACAAATTGTGATGATATTTGGAAAGAAAACACTTGAAATAATTTAATCGGGAATGATTCCATGTAATGCCTCTGCCATTTTAATGAATCTTTTTTCATAAATCTAGTTTAACTGNTATATATATATATATGATAACAGTTATATATTAATGGTGGAAGATCCCCTGAACATTTAAAGGATTTAAGAAAAAGTATGAAAATTACTTTAAAAATTTCTAAAAACTTATGATCTTTCCTAGATGTTCAAATAGGGCGTTCTTTATCTGACTAAAATTAATGAAAATATTATATAGGGTGATTCCCTATTAAATCATTTTTTTCACATGTTTTCCTTCCTAATATCATCACATTTCGTTCCGTATCATAATTTCAGGGCTTTATCATTTGTTATTAAAGTTTGTTATATAATGCGAAATAATATTTGTGGAAAACCCAGTATCATTTAGAACGTTTAAGAAAAAGTAAGAAAACTACTTTGGAAACTTCTAAAAACCATTGACATTTTTAAGATGTTCAAATAGGACCTTCTTCATTTTACCAAATAGGATTTTAAAAAAATCGATGAAGAAATTACGAAAACATTTTTGAAGTGATACTTCTTATGCGGCTTCCAACAAGGTTGCGTTAAACGTTTAACGCTACATTTTTGTTGGCCGGGAAATCACGTGGTAGGATCCAGTTTTCCCTCATTCATTTCCATATTGTTTTGGTTCTCACTAGCATAAAAATAATAAAAGTCATAAAAGTATTGTTTTTCTATAAATATTTTTTTAGTTTGATTTGATACACATATAATTTAATAGGATAGTATTTTTTATTTTCAAATTTAGTGGATAACAATTGTAAAAAATGAGTGAAAACAATCCCACGGACAATGCGACGGATTTAAGGTTATGTCAAGGTACGTCTCTTGTGAATATCAATTGATTTGATACATTATTAATACAAATGCATTTTCCATGGCGAGACGATGGGGCAACCACAAGCACTTCCACTGGTTCAAGAGGTCCACGAGGGAAAAATGCACAATATTACCGTTATTACAGAGCACGGAAGCGAGCGGAACCGGAAAAAGAGTCGTTGAATGGAACTAGTGATCCTTCTACGACTGCTGATTCTTCTACAATTAACATCGCAGGTTATGAAGTTTAACTTCTTCCGCACGGAGGGACTCCACGCACTATTTTTTTTTATTTAAATGTTTTCCGCTGACGCGCAGTATGAAACGATTCCTATAAACACTTATATCTTGCGTAATTTTTAACGAATCTTTTTCGTATTTTAAAATGATATTTTTATTATTAATTAAAAAGTTTCCTAGGAAAGATTTTTCAATTTTATTGAGTATTTCTATAATTGTTGTTAGAAAGCGCAAAGCAAAATAAGTAGTTTAATCAGTTTTATGTTCTAAAAGTCATACATCTAAATATTTTTTTTAACAATATTTATTGAACTTTATTTTCCTTTATGACTGTGACACCTTGGTTTTTGTTGAAGAAAAATAAATAAAATAGTGATAATTTAAGTTAAATAATAATAATAAAAATATTATATGAATTTGAAATATTGGAAATAATTTTTATTGAAACTTTTTTAATATACATTAAGATTCTGCAATGTAAAAAGCATCGTTATTTCTATTAAAAAATAAATAATTAAAGGGAAATTTCTAGGGAAGTGAAAAAATTAAGGAATTGTTTTACAAAAATTTTGAAATGGAATTATTTTATATTATTTCAGTTGAAGTTTTCATTTTAAAGAAAATGTATGTTTTTAAAAAATATTCATTTTTTAAAAACTCCTATTTTATTTCCACTGGGGAATTCAGAGTTTTTTATTTTGAGGAATTCTTTAAGTTTACCATTGTTTTTTAAAACACCTTTTTAAAAAAAGTCCATCAAATTTAAATGATACTTAATTCTATAAACCGAAGATTGTATCTTCATTTTTTCACAATCTTAGTGGTATAATGAACGGTACTAATGTTTTTTTCTTTCTGAAATATATACAATGAATATTATACAAAAACAACAATGTTTAAATTATAACAATTATAAAACGTGATTATTTTTCACCACTTTTCTTGTTAAGTATTTTTACGCCTGGAATATTAGTTAATATCTGCTACCTAAATTCTCAGAAGCGAACCTCTAATTTTTGACCGATTCAGTAATGCCTGAGCTATATTTCGTTAAATTTGAGAATTATTTCGTAACGAAATCACGTGGTTTGTAAATAAACTGGAACTCTCAAATATACGACGAAAATGTTTCCTCAACTCGAATCCTCATCGTAGTGGAATGTGGGAGAATAGAATTTATTATATATACAGCGGCCTAGGCCAATAGGCCCATACGCCAAATACAATGGATCATTTAAAAGGTCAACAGACCCTTATATAAATAAAATACAAAAATATATGTATATATAAAATACAACACTTATTAACCCTTATATAAATAAAATACAAAAATTATATATATATAAAATGCAAAAATTATGAACCCTGAGACAACCAGTAAAAACTGA